GAAGAGAAGTTTGACAATAATCATAGGAAAATGCCACAGGTAATTTCCCTTTTTGGGAAATTGGTCCAAGTGTTAATTTTACAAACTAAAACAGGAAAGACTGTGGTTACACAATTGTAACCTCTAGCATGTGACAATGTTAATAAGACCATAGAGCTATAGCTACTAAATATTGTAACCAATTTCCAGAAAATACACAAAAGTATCTGTTCAATAACCTTATATTATTCTTCAAATAGAACATGCCATGTAAAGTGAAGAAAAGTTGTCTGGAATCCCAGCGTAAATACACTGTGCAATCAAAGTTAAATGCATGCATTATTTAGTATACATAGGAAGTTAATTGAAAAATTCCAAAAAATAAAACAGGGTTAGTTATATTTTGACAAAAGCTTTGGGATTTCCAGATTTTAATAATCATCTGTAGCCTCTAAAGATAAGGTCTTTGTTTGATTTACTGAACATACAATATTTTAAATTTCATTGAATAAATAGTTGATTTTTAAAGACCAAATAAGTACTCATGAAAGAGAAACATTTTGGCTCTGGGCCATAGAAAATAGAAATTTCTCCAGGAAAGAACCATGGAGGGATTGTCTATCCCTCTCTAGCGCCAAAGCAAGGGGATTGTACAAATAACAGGGCCTGGGATTCTGGAAAGGAGGGGTGAATATGTAGGGGCCCAGGGCCCAAACATGTTGCATTTGTAAAAATTGCATGTGAAGTACATTAACCATATTTTCCCCAGATTTTCTCTAGGGCCCTAGTCTGCTCTTGAAGCCCTACTCCTTACTTCAAACTCTCCCAGAGCAGGAGGAATGACTTATATGAATGATAAGGCATGCAAGTGCTCACATGTATCTGCCATGGAGGGCAGAATGGTAATCCAGCTTACCAGTTTTTATGTAGTCAGCATCCCTGGGCAGGTTTCTCCAGCCATGGAGGAGATGGAAAACTTGCCAACCCTCAGCTTCACCTGCAACTGAATGGGTTCAACTGCCTTCTTCGAATTGGTGTTTGTATGTGTGGTTGGTGGAAAGGGAAGGGTGGCTAGGAAATCTCAGCAGCATCTTTAATAAAGCCAATACATATCCACTTCTTAACTATAATGGACAAGTTTTAAAAGAGAAGGAGATAGTAATCTATTTAAAGCTAAATAGCCATCCTATCTATTTGGCCGTCTTTGTTCTTAGCATTCTCTTTATAACACAGTGACCTCAACATAATAGATGTTCAATTAATGATGTTGAATATATGAAGAGAGTCTTGTGAGAGCTGCAAGAGACGGTACTTACTGATTAATTGTTTTGATATTTAAGAACCACTTTGGTTGAAGAATATTATTTGGGCAAGGAAATGAGAATAAATTTATTCCCTAGAAATAATCTTTCAAAGTTTGTTTACTAAAAGAGAAAGAGAAAGAATATCTTACGGAATTTCTGAACTTGTACTATTTTCTCTACATGCGATTTAAGCTAGGGGAACTTTGGGAATGCGAATATTTGCCATATATTTTAAAGAAACATCCTCAAGATTAAATGAAGCAGATTTATGGAGGCATACAAAGAGTTTTAAAGGAACAACTATACTGGAAATATTTTTAGGAAAAAATGATAGAAAAATTTCCTTTTACTTGATTTACCTAGATTACCTCAAGTTACCAAATACAAAAAATATTCACAAAGCAAATAAATTGTCTCTCTCAATGCTCTTACACATTTCACCATTTTATGTTCTCACCCATCATTGCTTTGTGGACTTTATTTTCATCTAATCAAAGGAATTCAATCAAAATTTATTTCAGACTGACTTTAAATGATGATCACGAGACACACATGGCACAGCTGCTTACATTAGAAGATGAAAAAATGCTCAGAATCCCTTTCATCTGAACTCTTACCTTACCTTGATTGTACCAAAGATTGTAAACTGATCCTTCATTGACTGGTATGTGTTGTTATTCCTACTAAAGATTTTTAAATAATTTTCAATGCTTAATGCATTATATGGTTTGGCTCTGTGTCCCCACCCAAATATCACCTTGAATTTTAATTATCTCCATGTGTCAAAAGTCGGACCAGGTGGAGATAATTTAATCATGGGCGTGTTTTTCCCAATGCTGTTCTCGTGGTAAGGAGTGAGTCTCATGAGATCTGATGGTTTTATAAATGTCTGGCATTTACCCTGCTTGCGCTCATTCTTTCTCCTGCTGCCCCGTGAAGAGGTGTTTTATGCCGTGATTTTAAGTTTCCAGAGGCCTTCCCAGACAAGTGGAACTGTGAGTCAATTACACCTCTTTTCCTTTATAAATTACCCAGTCTCAGGTATTTCTTCACTGCAGTCTAATACATTGCATTACTTTTCTATTGCTAAATAACAAATAACCGTATACTTATCAATGTAAAACAACACCCATTTATTAGTTAACAAATCTGTAAGTCTTTATGTTGAGCTCCATTGGATTCTCTGATCGGAATCTCACCAGATCGAAAAGAAAATGTTGGCTGGGATGAACACTTATTTGAAGGCTTTCGGGAAGAATTCACTTCCAAGCTCATTCTGGTTATTGGCAGAATTCTGTGCCTTGTGGATGTGAGACTGAGGTCCCCATTTTCTGGCTAGATTACCAGCCCCAGACTGTGCTCAGCTCCTAGAGGCTAAAGATATAGCCCACTGTATCTTCAAAGCCAGCAAAGATCTGTGGTATCCTGCTTGTGCTTTCCTCCTTCTGATTCCATGGTTAGATTGAGTCCACCTAGATAATCACCCTTTTGGCACATAACAGTCACAGGAGTACTCTGTCATTATATTGACAGATTTCACTCACGTTCAAAGGGAAGAGGTTACACAAGGAAGACAGCCAAGAGAAGTCATTTTTAGAATTCTGTCCACCATACTTACCACCATTTAAACATCAGGGTATTTTATATAGTTATCCAAACATTTTGTTTTTCTTAAAAATGAGGATATCTGTGAATGTTGGGCTACATTCCACCATTGCAACAATTGGCTAGACCTGATAAGTGACAGTCCCTTTTTTCTGAGGAGCATTATCAAACAGAGTTTGCGATTTGCTGTTAACACACACTCACCCAGTTCACTCTATATGTACTTCAGTTTTCAGCAACAGCCTTACAGCATAAACAATACTGCAACACAACATTTCTAACAGAGCACATATTCGCACCTCTTCAAATCTAAATTTATCCAGGAAACTAATCATCTCAATGATATCTGCACTTTGAAGATAATGAGAAAATCTCAGGCTAAGCACTGATGTTCCTTTTGCCTCTCAAGACGGATTCTTGTAATAACATTTCAATAAACTTAGTAATGCCGAGCATGTACTTAGTCTTTTGGTCTAATAAGTGAATAATATTGCACAAATTAAATCCTACCACTGAGTTAGCCCATGCAAAAGACACAAACGTACTCTCAGTGGACAAATGTCTTCCCGTGTAATCATGCCAGCAGCAGAAAATGGAATCTGTCATAAAAAATAAATTATCCAAGAGTCTGACCATGTCCACACAGCTTGGCACTAAATTTCATTTTTCTTGTTCTTCAGCTGAGAACCTAAATAAACACTTACAAAGCAGTCGGAAAGATTACGTTGTTTTTCAGAGTTGGATTCTACAGCCTCAGTCTTCAGACGGATGAGACCGTAGCAGTCGGAAGGCCTGCTGCTTTTTATGTGTCTGTTTCCTGTGATCGCACCTTTATTTAGTCAGGTTTTCCAGTTTCAGGATACATAAAGGTGCAGAGAGAGGCAGTACAAAGCCTGCAGGCTGCATGTTTTAGGGAACTATGAGAGGAGAGGCTGGGGTTTATAAAAATTGAAGTAATGGAATTTGATAAAGGTTGTTGTGGGCTAGACTGTGGGAGACTTCCATGTCAGGGTAAGACATTTGGAAATTATCTTATAGTGAGGAGGGAACCGTTTCATTTAGTGCGGCAGAAGAATACAACAGTTAGAAGCACAGCCTTTGGAGCCAGACTATGCGGTTTCAAACCTTACCTGCAATGGTATGCGTGTTCGTGTTCCTCCAAAATTTATGTCGAATCTTAATCTCCAATGCAGTAGTATTAAGAGGTGGAGCCTTTGGAGCTAGTTAAGTTATGAGAGTGGAGCTCTCATGAAAGGGATTAGTGAATTTATAAATTTGTCTGGAGGGGACTAGTGTTCATTTCCTTTTGCCCTTCTGGACACAGCCTCCATCCCCTTTGGAAGGTACAGCAACCAGGCGCCATCTTGAAAGCAGAGACCAGGTCCTTACCAGGCACCAAACCTGCTGGCACCTTGATCTTTAACTTCCCATGTTCCAGAACTATGAGAAATATATTTCTATTTTTCATAAATTTTTTCTTTAACCCCACTTTACTTTGTGGACCTAGACAAAGTTGATAAATCTACCAGCAACTTTTCAATTAAAAGGACGATATTAGTGGCTATGAACTGAAAGTTTGTGTCTTCTGCAAATTTATTCGCTAAATCCCTGAACCTCAATATAACTGGATCTGGAGGTAGGGCCTTTATGGAGGGAATTAAGCATAAATTAAGTAGTAAGTATGGGGTCCTGATCCAATAGCATTAGTGTTTCTGTAAGAAAAGAGACCAGAGCTCACTCTCTCTCTGCACTTGCCAGAATGTTGATCTTGTCATGCCTCCAGAACTGTGAGAAATAAATTTCTGTTCTTTCAGCCAAAAAATAAAATAAAATTACCCAGTTTATGGTATTTTGTCATAGCAGCACAAATGGACAAAGATACTGCCTCTGGCACTCGCTAGCTGTATGACAGGAAGCCAGTTAGTTTGATACTGTGTCTTTATATCTTCATATAAAGTGAGAAATGTAACAGAGACATGCTAATTCACCACTAAGAACAGTGCTGATACCTAGTAACCATCCAAGAAATGTTAGCTATCACTATTACTGTAGCAACCAGGTTAGGGCTGACACTGAGGTAAATAAATATATAAATAAATTATAAACCCTAAATAAAGTTGTTGAAAGATAGAAAACACAATTTTATCCTTTTTAGTAGGTACATAAGATCCCTCCTTTGCGAGGAAGAGTCACACTTGAGTTGTCTCAGTTAATTAGACTTAGTTTTAAACCTGGTTTTCTTCCTTGTCACTCAGGGCTAATCACACAAGGCTTACTGCCTTATAGGCCTTCATCTCTAGGCTTCTGCTCTCTCATTTATTTCCTTACCGTTTCACAGTTAAATTTCCTAGGAAAAAAAAAAAAAAAAGAGTGCAAGGGGTTTTCTCAGTCATCATTAACTGTGGATCCCTTAGCCTGGACTGTGTTTCTACCAAGCCACTTCTCAGATTCCTGCTCATCCTGCAGGTGGCTGCCTTTATGTCAGACACCAGTGGTCCAGTCACCTATGTCTGCAGTAGCAGAGAAAATAATCATATATGTAGATCCCCCTTCTCCCTGACAGTCATGAAAGGTTGTGGATTAGTAGATTATTTTGTTATTTCTTCTGCTCTTATGGTCATTGGTGCTTTGGGCTGTGGTGACGAAGTCTGTGCGTGAAGAAGCAGAAAGGACAACAGTTCCATTGCCAAATTCTTCAGCAAGAGTGGGGAGGAAAGCATAGCTAATATACTTCTGAGCAGTTCACAGGCCCAAAGAAAGATGTGTGAAAGCACACATGGTGGGTGGAGTGGGAGAGGCGGAGAAAGTGGGGCATGTAATGGTGGAGATAATGCAAAGCATTCTTTCCTCAGAATGATGAGAGGCTCTGGGACATTCCTTGGTATTTGGAATTTTAGTAAGAATTTATATCAACTATGTACTTGAATCACCTTTAGTATTTTTTGAGAGATCAGGTAAAGATTGTAAACATCATTCAAACTGTGCTTCCCTGATTGTACCACTTCCCTGAGCATAACTACGTGGGGCACATCTTAAACAGGAATATAGAAGAGACTGTCAAAGAGGAGTTTGGGCATGGCTGTCACTCTGAGGTTTCCTTAAAAAAAAAAAAAAAAAAAAAAGTTGTTTAATTGGAATTTCCAGAAATGGGTACTGGAATTCCAAACAACTGGCTGGTTGCTTTACCTTCTTTCTGAGCTTCATATCTACCCAATTTCCTAGGAAAGAAGAAAAGTTTCACATGATGAGACTATAATGTCAAATTGCACTTGGGAACTTATAAATAGATTTTTGAAATGCTACATCTTTTTAAAATCAAGAAAATTTAAAGTAGATACTTACATTTAGATTGCATTTGGTTTCTAAATGTGCTCTCAAGAGATAATGCATTCGAATATATAGTTTTCCTAGGCACTAGAGAGCTGCAATTAAAACACTGGTTCCAGACTAAGACTGAAAAAAGTTCAAATGAAGGCTTCTCCACTTATTAGTTCCATTGCTTTAGATAAGTTAACATGTCTATGGTGGATTTAAATTATGCACACAAATTCTCTAATATTCCTGCCTTCAAGAGATGGAGCCTAATTCCTCTCCTCTTGAGAGTAGGTTGGATGTAGTGACATGCTTCTAGTAAAGAAAGCGACAGGATGTGAATTTAGAGACGATATCATAAAAAGCACTTTGACTTCCTTTCTTGGATGGCACACTCTGGAGGAAGCTTGGATTACATGCTCTAGGGGAAGCTAGCTGCCATATTGTGAGGTCACACTGAACAGCCTCATAGAGAAATCCACCTGGCAAGGAAATGAGGCCTCCTACAACAGCCAGCAATGAACTGAGGTCTTCTGCCAACAATCCTGTGAGTGAGCCATTTTAGAGTTAATCCTTCAGCCATAGTCAATCCTTTAGATTACTGTTAGCCCACACAAACATCTTGGTTGCCGCATCATGAGAGACCCTGGGTCAGACCCACCCAGCTAAGCTGCTACCAAATTCATGACCTATGGAAACTGTGTGAGTTAATAAATGCTTGTTGTTCTAAGTTACTAACTTGTGTTAGTTTCTGTTATACCATGTTGTTTTTTGTTTGTTTGTTTGTTTTTGTTTTTGTTTTTTTTTTTTGAGACGGAGTCTTGCTTTGTCGCCCGGGCTGGAGTGCAGTGGCCGGATCTCAGCTCACTGCAAGCTCCGTCTCCTGGGTTTATGCCATTCTCCTGCCTCAGCCTCCCATGTAGCTGGGACTACAGGCGCCCGCCACCTTGCCCAGCTAGTTTTTTGGTATTTTTTAGTAGAGACGGGGTTTCACTGTGTTCGCCAGGATGGTCTCGATCTCCTGACCTTGTGATCCGCCCTTCTCGGCCTCCCAAAGTGCTGGGATTACAGGCTTGAGCCACCGCGCCCGGCCTACCATGTTGTTTTAGTAATATTTTGGAAAGCTAGGATTTAATGAGAGTCTAATAAAAAATACAGTAGTGCCGACCATTCCAGTAGCCACTAGCCCTATGTAGCTATTTAAATTTAGTCAAAATTAAATAAAATTTAATATTCAATTTGCCAGTTGCATTAGCTACATTTAAAGGAACTCTGTAGCCACATGTGGTTAGTGGCTACTGTATTGGATAGTGCAGATATAGAACATTTTCATTAGTTCAGAAAGTTTTTCTTTTCTTTCTTTATTTTTATTTATCTATTTTTAGAGACAGGGAGAGCTCTGTCATTCAGCCTGGAGTGGCACAACATAGCTCACTACAGCCTTGAACTTCTGGGCTCAAGCAATCCTCCCTCCTATGTCCCCCCAAGTAATTGACACACTTGCCACCATATCTGGCTAATTAAAAAAAATATTTTTTTTAGAGACAGTATTTTACTATGTTGCTCAGGCTGGTCTAGACCTCATGAACTCATGAACTCAACCTTCCTAATACCTGTAATTACAGGCATAAGCCACTGTACCTGGCTGATTGCAGGAAGTTCTATTAGACAACCTTGCTCTGTAGCAATGTAGTTTAAATTGGAGCCTGCAAATGCAAATACTAAACATGATTATATTTTTGAATGTTGTCAATTTTTGAATTTAAGTATTTAAGATTTTTTTAAAAAATAAACATACTCTGGATCATTTGGACAATCATCTTAAAACCAAGTTTTGCTCATTGATTTCTGTGCTCGATTTTAGACCTTGAATTTTTATGTTTATAACGGAGTTCCAGTCAGACTGTGCTACTCTTAAGTGTTGAGGGCTATTGTTAAAAGAACAGAGTCAAAATCGTTGCATAAACGATAGGTGCTTAAAATGTGTGTGATGCATTCAGTCCACAGTGTCAAGCATACTGTCTGAGTGAAAATTCAGTAGTGGAAAAATTCATTCATCACATGACTCATTAAGCATTCAACGATTCACCTTAAGCAAAACAATATTCTCTTTATGTTAAATTTAAACTCTTCATTTAACTATTCTCAATTTTATAATTTTACTGGTATTTGTAATTGCCTTTGATCTTATAGATTTTGTGTTTACAAATACATTTTTAAGGTTATACATGCTTCAATATATAATAATTCTATACATAATTCACTCGTGCCACCTTATATGAATTGGGAAACTACAAAGAAGAAACCTGGGGAGAATACCCCAAATTTGCCATCTGCAGTGAAATTAACCATTACAGATAAGGATCAGGCCTACAAAGAAAGTCGAGTTTTCCTTTCAGTTAACAGACTTGTATTTTAAACTGGGTCTTCAAAGAAAAGAATGCCTAAATCTGAAAGATCCTGCTGGAGGAAATTTCTTTCACATTGACACACCGGTGAATGAGGTATTTTAAAATGAAGGAGCTTCTTGCACTTCACAGCATACCCAGTAGGTGGCCTCACCTACACTTTTGCTAATGCATGTGAATATAAGTGCTTCTTTGATGATGCATTTCATTATCTCTGTGAGACACCTAACTATTGCGAAGAACAGGCTTCTAAACAGAGAAAGGCTTTTGATGAATGCAGTAGAATTATATTAAGTAATCGGCACATCTTTTGTTATGTTGATTGTATCCTGGTTTTTATTTGAATTGGGTGAAAAGTAAAAAGGTCTGAATTTCTCCCTCAGCTATGCACATGTTAATTCTTTCCAACAGCACATAGAGCTAAGTCAACCCTTTCTGAGTGAAACAGCTTGGCCTTGAGACCTGCTGTTTTCTTGAGCTTCCTCTTTTCCTGTGTCATGGAGTGGCCTTGAGAAATGCCTCTCCCTGTTATTGATGGGAACAACCGAACAGCCTTTAGTAACTGCCAATCTTGCTTACTCTTTTCCTTCTTTTCTCCCTCAGGTCCATTTCCTTTCACTCTGTCTTGTCACCTCCCCACATTCTGAATTCTTTATCCTTGCTTCATTTCTTTCTTTCTTTAATTACACTAAGCTGTAAATATTTTTTAGCTTTCTGAGACTCTCTTCACGTTTTTCATCTTGAAAGGGCTGCAATTAGCTGTTTTACTGAGTGCTACTGACTTCCTATTGATGGCATTTATTTATTTTTATTTTTTATTATTATTGTTTTGAGATGGAGTCTCACTCTGTCACCCAGGCTGGAGTGCAATGGTGCAATCTTGGCTCACTGCAACCTCTGCCTCCCTGGTTCAAGCGATTCTCCAGTCTCAGCCTCCTGAGTAGCTGGGATTACAGGCAAGCATCACCATGCTTGGCTAATTTTTGTATTTTTAGTAGAGATGGGGTTTCATGATGTTGGTCAGGCAGGTCTCGAACTCCTGACCTCGTGATCCACCCGCCTCAGCCTCCCAAAGTGCTGGGATGACAGGTGTGAGCCACCACGCCCAGCAATGGTATTTATTTAAGTGGTAGTGTTATCTTTGTGACATATGCATTCAAAGAAGAAACAGGGCTTGCCTTCATATGTCTGAATAAAGGAAGTACCTGTTTTCTCACTATTTTCTGAAAATCAGAATAAATTAGATCTCAGCGAAACATAACATTTCTCAAAGGAACAATTTTATGACCGGGGAAGTCACATAATCTGACAATGAACATTTAGTTAGGTATAACAAATTTGTATCATATCCCTGGTCAAGTGCTTACCTACCTTGTAAGAGTTAGAGCAAATACACCTGATTCTTTGGGGACACCCAAGAAGAAATTAATTTTACTGTACTTTATATACTATCTCATTCTAGTTCTTTTAAAATATTATTTTGTATGTGTGTCTTGACACAATTGCAATAGAAACACTCAAGAGTGTTTCTAGATTAATCAAGTAGCACAGTGACTTCTACCTTGATTGTAATTTAAAATAGTAGAGTTAGGTGTCAGTGCTCTGAATGGCCACAATTGCATCATACTTGTTTCTGTACAAAGTCTTTCCTATTTCTTAAAATGTTAAAAAAATAAAACCCTACCCATTTGTATAGAATTGGGTCATTAAGTAATGAACGACCTATTGAAATCTCATATGTTAGCTAAAATAAACATCAATTTAGAATTATCAGACTGGTCTCAAACTCCTGACCTCAGGAGACCAGCCTGACCAACATGGTGAGACCCTGTCTCTACTAAATACAAAAAACTAGGTGGGCGTGGTGGCACATGCCTGTAATCCCAGCTACTTGGGAGGCTGAGGCAAGACAATCCCTTGAACCTGGGAGGTGGAAGTTGCAGTGAGCTGAGATTGCACCATTCACTCCAGCCTGGGTACCAAGAGTTAAACTTTGTCTTAAAAAAAATAAAAAATAAAATTATAAAATTATCAGATTGTGTTTTCCTTGATATTTAAAATATGGAAAGTTTATTTTAAAAGGGTTTATCTTTTTGTTGTCAATTTCTTTTTAAAGAAGTATCCAAGGAAGTTCATATAGATAATTTCCTCATAACCAATATTCAAAATCCTTTTATGGATCCTTTAGTGACATTCACATCTGTTCTCAAGCCATTGGAAATAATTCCTGAAAGACTGGATAGATTATTATTTTAATAGTTAATGTAAGTATTTTAATGCCTTTTAGCAATGAACATGCTTACGTTTTGCAGTTAAATTGATATTCAATTTATTAGAGTTACAAATTCAATAACCATGTTTGCCTTAGGTTTTCAAGCTATTTTTTATAAATTTTATGTCATTCAAAAATCTAAATAAATTTTATTTGAAAAAGAACAGTCACTTCTACTCTTTTACTTACTCTTTATGAGGCAGGAAAATAGGGTGAGGCAGGGAAAATAGGGTGAGGAAGCAGGAAAATAGGGTAAGGAGCTAAGGTGGATTAACACTTCAGCTAGGACAGGAAATATCCTCTCCATAGGGCGTAGGCTGTAAATGACTTTGTAACTTTACTTCATTCTCTCCATTTACATAGGGCATACCCCAACTAACCAATGGAATCCTCTTGAGGGTATTTAAACTCCCAAAAATTCTGTAACGGGGCCCTTGAGCCCCTGTGCTCGGGCCTGCTCCCACACTGTGGAGTGTACTATCATTTTCAATTGGTCCCTTCATTCCTTCCTTGCTTTGTTTGTGAGTTTTGTCCAATTCTTTGTTCAAGATGCCAAGAATCTGGACACCTTCTACCGTTAACATTTAAGTAACATTTGATCAGCTCAAGTTTAATGGTTTAAACTCTCAAACAATTAATTCCTTGAATAAATTAGTTAATTAAATCCCCTTAAATATTTTAAGCTGAATTTCTAAACTTAATGTTTTAAGTACTTCAATTTTTTTCAAGTACTGGCCTGACAAACTGTTAGCATTTGATAACCTCAAAAATGATCTCCATGCTTCTTGCCTGAATTCGAAATGTAGTTATTTATTTCATAATTGATTGATGTAACAGTTTTACAGTGTTTACTCTGTCTCAGACTGCCCCACTGAGCTGGCCACACAGCCAGACAGATCTATTGTTCCCAATATTACGAAGTAGCTAATTCACTCCTCCCCTGAAGAGGAGGGAATGGAACAGTTATCTACAGGAACCTCTGCATGTGCAAAGATAAAACCAAAGAAAAGATGTGTCTAATTTGCCCAGCCAATGCATCTGCATGTGTGTGCATACACACACTCAGGCAAACACACACAAACACCCTCTAGTTTTGTGTTCTTGTTACCCTTGGGGCCTAATTATTAAAACGATGGCCCAAATAGGGCTGTGACTATCTCCATCAGTGGAGAATATCAGTCTGTGACTTGTCAAAGAAAAATTGCACTGGATGCAGTTAAACAGGCAGAGAAGACTTCATCAAGTCTTCTTCTGTTGCAACAGTAGTCAAGACTGTTGGAATAAGGAGAGAGAATGAATTTAATTCCACTGTAACAAAAGGCAGAAGAGTTGTTAAACACTGGAGTGAGCTATTGGGAAAACACCTGAAGACTTAGGTTGGGGCATTGGGCAATATGATTAGGCCATCTGTGTTTGCTAATTGTCATTTTCTCCCAGGTTAGGCTCTCACACTCTCACAAAGACTTGGAGACTGGGTCTCTGTTTTTCTTGATGTTTCTATTTCCCAAGTCTTAGAGAAAGCCACGTCTGGGTTGTAGAACATTTACATTTCAAAGGGATAGAGTAAAAATTAACAATTGCAAGTTTCCTAAAGTGAGTAAGAAAAGGGAGGTCAAAGGCCTATAGTCAGGGATTAACCTGTCTAAAGCTGAGAGAAACATTAGCGTCTTCTTGGTCTGACCTCAGTTGGTTGGTGTCAGTTTTGCACCCAGAAGACTCAGACACAGATAAAAACATTAATCTGAGGAATCAAAACTGAGCTACTCTGAACCCAAGAGAGAAAAAATGAGGAAAAGGCAGTCATTCTCTCATCTAGGCTAATATTTGGGGTTGTCTAAGAGCTATTTGTGTAATAGATCAGACTTAGATCTATTCTAATCTTTTCTTTAATGTGCTTAAAGGTATAATTACATCCTTCTGCTTCTTTCTCCCATCTCTCGAATTGTACCTCCTTTAGGAGGTATTTAAAGGACATAATAAGCACAGAAATGTGTATTGATACTTGTTATTCTAATATATTGAACGAGCGTTATAAAGGGTAGAATTTTGCTTTCTGATTGTAATGTAGTTAGTATTACAGATCACCTTACACAGTTCCTTTCCAAAAAAGAGGATGAACAATCCATATAAAAAAACTCATGCTTGGAGAGTTTTATTTTGTTGAAAAATATAGATTTACTTAGTAGTCTTTTTCATGATGATCTGAGCTTTTGTACCAACTCACAATTTAATTTTTCAATTCTTTCTAAGGCTCAGCATCTAAACCTAAGGGGAAGTTTACTAGCTTTGATTTAATGGAAGCGGTGAGTGTTATGTAGAAGGTAAGACAAGATGGACTCCATTATAAGGGAGGAAATTAAATTTTCACATTTTGATTGATTCTGGAAATCCATATTTTTGGTGATAAATTGATAAGGTATTTTACGTGATGAAAAAATGAATTTTGAAAAGGGCAAATGTAAGTATGCTAATTGAAAAAAGTTGGAGAACGTTAGAAAATCATTTCATTTTGTAAGTACACTGATTAAAAAAAAAGGTGCTGCAAGGGGATTTATGTAAATGTAGTGAATTAAAACATTTATCTTGCAAACTTGATAAACAGCAGTAGGTACTTTAGAGGGTGAAAATAATTAGTTCCTCAGCTCCCACGTGTACCTGAATCATTGTTACAATTATATTTGTTTATTGCTTCAGAATGACTTTATTTCAGTGAAACACAGACTTAGAAACCTATAATAGGATGATCTTTTTTCTACTAACTTTTGTTTTCATTTACTGTAGGGGATAGATTCTCATCTTTAATAACATTGTTATCCTTTTTCTCTCTCTCCTTAAGACACAGTAACCCTGAGAGTTATCTTATTGTAGGCAAGATATTCCTCTTCCCAGCCCCTCTCTAATATATTATCTAAATTGCAGTCTCTGATTAGATTTTAGAGTGAAAATATGACCTTGTCACTCTTTTTCTTAAAATCTTTCAATATCTTCCCATTATCTAGTATAAAGTTCCCATGAGGCGTTTTCTAATCAACTCCTGCAGACTAATCTAAATTCATTCTACACTAATTGCCTCCACATTGAACTTCACATTTTCAGTCAAGTTGAACTCTTATTGTCCCCTTAACATGTTATGTGTTTTAGGCCAAGGTTCTATTTTTGTTATTTCCTCTGCCTTGAATAATCCCTAACGAACTTACATTGCTGATACCCCAAACTCTAAAACTTCCTTTAATTCTGATTAAATTCCATAAGCTACTTCCATCATTAAACCAGTATTGTTGAGTACCTACCAGAGGCCAAGCAGTATTCTGGGTCCTAGGATACAGTGATAAACACCCTCTCTTCTCCAGTACACACACACATATACAGGTTTTACCTACAGAGCTCATATTCTACTGGGAGAAAGACAATACTTAAGTAGGTAAGTTACACAGAGTTAGAAAAGAAATAAAGCAGGGAATGGGAAGTGAAGTATGCATTGTGACAGATGACAGATAGAGCCAGGGAAGATTGAACTGGGTGGGGACTTTTGAATTAAGACCAGGGAAGTCGCTGGGTCAGTCATGTGGATACACAAGGCTAAAATCTTCCTGGCAGAGAGAAGAGCAAGGGCAAAGGCCCTAAGGCTTGGCAGCATGCCTAGAGGATGCAAAAGTAGAAGGAGGGAAACCTAGTAGGAGGTGATTGCAATAATCCAGAAGAAAGATGGTGATAAATTAGACCAGAGTGGTAAGTGGAGTGGTTGGAGTGGAGTGGGAGAGTGATTGGATTTTGGGTCAAGGAAAGTCAACGATCAATCCTGGAATAGTTAATTTTATGTCAACTTGGCAAGACTATGGTGACCAGATATTTTGTCAACACTAGTCCAGATGTTACTGTACAGGTATTTGTTAAAAAGTGATTAACGTTTACAATCAGTTGACTTGAAGGAAATTACCCTCCATAATCTGGGTGGTCTTCATCCAATCAGTTGAATATCTTAAGAGCAAAGACTGAGGAACTCTGACTACAGACTGGAATAAAAAAATTCTGTCTGGCCAGGCACGGTGGCTCACGCCCATAATCCCAGCACCTTGGGAGGCCAAGACAGGTGGATCACGAGGTCACGAGATCGAGATCATTCTGGCTAACATGGAGACAACCTGTCTCTACTAAAAATACAAAACATTAACTGGGCGTGGTGGTGGGAGCCTGTAGTCTCAGCTACTAGGGAGGCTGAGGCAGGAGAATGATGTGAACCCAGGAGGCTGAGCTTGTAGTGAGCCGAGATTGTGCCACTGCACTCCAGCCTGGGCAACAGAGAGAGACTCCGTCTCAAAAAAAAAAAAAAAAAAAAAAAAATTCTGTCTGAATTTCCAGCTTTCAGACTCAAGACTAAAATATCAACGCCTACCTGAATCTCTAGCCTCTGCTAACTTGTCTATAGAATCCAGACTCACCAGCTGCCACAACTGCTGCTGAGATAAGCCCTTAAAATCTCCACCTCTCTCTTTTCCTTTGTATTTATGCACACACACACACCCCCCCCACACACACCCCCCACACACACACAGTGTCTCCCTCTGTCTCTCTGTGTGCCTTCTCTGGAGAATCCTGACTCCTGACTAATACAACTCCAAAGGTTTCAGCCATGTAAAGATGAAATGTGAAATGATGACACGACAGCTAAGCAGTTGACTGGTGGGTACTATTAGGAGTGTAAGTTTGACATATTAATTTTGAGATGCTTACTTGACATTGAAGTGGAGATGTGGAGGTTACATGTATGAGTCCGAAGTTCTGGAGAGTGGTCTCATCTGGAGATTATGAAATGAGGCCCCTTCATTCAACAGAGTTTCCTATAACCAGTTTTACACGTTAAAACAATCACACATAACAGAAAGATCCTCTGTTTTAATCACTTGGTCCTCTTGATCATTTAAGTAATGTTCAATCTCATATCCTTTTTTTATCTGAAAAAATATTGTGCTTTCCCCCATATTTTCAGTTGTATGTTTGACTACTTTTCCAACTAATGCTTTCTTTCAAATAGCCTCTTTAAAATTTATCTGTGAGTTCAAGGCCCTGCCTCTTTTGTGAGTCATAAAGCAATCCTGGGTGCATTTGTGTGTGGGAAGTAGCTAGGTAGTGAGAGATCTTGTGCATCAAAGAAAGCATAAAATTTTTGTGTGAGATAGATACCAGCTTCTATATAACACAACATTTAAGATTTAGATCAAAATGTGGGAGTTTTCACAGGGTAGATGGTGTGTGAAGCCATGCCACTGGATGAGCTCATATAAAGAATGAGTGAGATAGAAAAGAGATGGAGTCCAAGGACAAAGCCCTGGGGGACTCCAAGATTTAGAGTTCAGAATAGGCAAAATATATTTAATAAGGGAATATAAAAAGGTATAAAGAATACCAGGTAGATTCCAAGAAATTATTAGAAATTATTCTAAGAAAAATGTGATGAATAGTATTAAATGCTATTGACAGTTTCTCTTCCATATTTCAGTGGTAACTCAACTTCATGATTAACCTTCCTAAGTCTCATGCATTTCTCCCATTTCCATATCTCTGTGAAAGAAGCCTCCAGCAATATAGTTGCTCAAGATAGTAATGTGGGATTCATTTTTCATTCCTACTTCTTTCTGTATCCCAGTCTTGTCCATTAGTGAGGCCTGCCAATTTTATCTTTTAGATTTCTCTGGAATTCACCCACTTCTCTCGATGGCCACTTAGACTACTAGAATAACATCTGCTCTATCAGTGGCCACTTTACAAATTGATTCTCCAAGTTGATCTTTTGGAAATATAAATCTAATTCCCATTATACCCTCAATTAGCCATCAATAGCTTTTACTACACTTTTAAGATTAGGACAAGACTAACATGTACTACCTCTACCTCCAGCCTCATCTTATAGCACTCCATTATGAGTGTCACTGAGTAAAAAATGAATGAATGAATGAATGAATGAATAACTACCCTTGTTCCTCTGTGGTTTACCACAGAATGACATGTTATTAGAGGAAACAGGACATTTAACATAAAAACTCAATATTTCTCTTTGATTAAATCCCTCAAAACCAACTGTATTAGTCCATTCTCATGTTGCTAATAAAGACATACCTGAGACTGGACAATTTATAAAGGAAAGAGGTTTAATTGATTCACAGTTCAGCATTGCTGGAGAGGCCTCAGGAAACTTGCCATCATGGTGGAAGAGGAAGCAAACATGTCCTCCTTCACATGGTGGCAACAAGAAGTGCAGAGAGAAGGGGGAAAATCCCCTTATAAAACTATCAAATCTCATGAGAATTCACTCAGTATCACAAGAACAGCATGGAGGTAACCACCCGTATGATTAGGTTACTTCTCACTGGGTCTCTACCACAACATGTGGAGATTATGGGAACTATAATTCAAGATGAGATTTGGGTAGGGATGCAGCCAAACCATATCACCAACCGAAATGATTTTGCCAAATAAGGTTTTTTATTGATTTTGGAATTTTTGTTGGCAATCAAAACTAGATGGCGTGTGTGTGTGTGTATACACATATATATGTATATCCTTGTATCTCTAGTATTTATATATACCTGATATTTATATATAAGTATATATATTTATATATGTATATATAAATACTAGAGATATAAGGATATATACATATATACAGGGATATAGATATATATCTCTAGTATTTTTATATATATACTTGATATTTATATATACATATATAAATATTAGAGATACAAGGATATATATACACACACTATATATATATACAACTATATATGTATATAAATATATATATAATAGCCTTCACTCTCAAAATACCACTGATATTTATGTATACATATATAAATACTAGAGATACAAGGATATATACACACACAAATATATATACACACAAATATATATATATATATATAAATATAAATAAAATAGCCTTCACTCTCAAAATACCACTAAAATACAAAAGGGAACAGTTATTAAAGATAAAGTTTGGACAAAGCACTGCTATACTTAGCACAAGAGAGGTAAAAAATTAGTGTTATGGGAAGAGATCAATTGCTTGCAACTGGATTCATGAAGGGTTTAAACTAATGGTTGTTGGGTCTATGCAATCATATCTGTTGTTGCTGATGTTTTTAAAGTAAATCTCATATTTTATTCGGATTACTGTGACTTTTGTTGTTTAAATCAAAGAAGGTTCATGCAAACATCATAGCCCTTATATAATACTGTATTTGTTTGTGTGCCTGTCTTTCCGTCAAAGTATGAGATCCTACTGACTGTATTCACATTTTCCTACCCATGTTTTTACAATTGTATTATTTTTAAATTATTTGTTATTATTTTTAAGTGAATAAGTAAATGATTGTCTTTTGGGGAAAAGAAAACCAGGCAGGAGGGTAAGAAACTTGGACAAATTTTGGTCTTCACAATTTTTCCTAGTTCCTAAGCTAGTCCTATCACCAAACATGTTTGCATTCTAACACTGGCCCGTATTGAATCAGGGAATGTTTGTTGGAAGCTCATTTAAGGTGAAGGTACTTTGGCTTTGTTTTCTTTCTTTCTTTTTTTTAATTAATACTGTTAAATCCCTGGTGAAGATAGAAACGTGCAAGGGGCCACAATAGATGACAAAAGCTGCAGAGAAAGGCATGAAGAGAGAAATGAATTAGAAAGTTGGTGCTGAAGATTCAAAATGAGAAAATAGATACATGCTGGTGAGTAAACTCTTCCCACTCTCTTTGATGTCATTCCGAGATTCACAGAGAGTAGTGTAAAAGGGACTTCCAGGCAGAGTGAGACAAGAAGTTGAGTCATAGCACATTAAAATTGAGAGCAGTAACAATTATTACCAAATAGGAATGTTTTCTTCTATTTCTTCTGTCTACATCTTTGTATTTTTAATTAAAAATTTCCCGAAATTGCCAGACGCGGTGGCTCACGCCTATAATCTCAGCACTTTGGGAGGCTGAGGTGGGTGGATCACGAGGTCAGGAGTTCGAGACCAGCCTGACCAACATAGAGAAACCTCGTCTCTACTAAAAATACAAAATTAGCCGGGCGTGGTGGCGCATGCCTGTAATCCCAGCTACTAGGGAGGCTGAGGCAGGAGAATCGCTTGAACCTGGGAAGCGGAGGTTGCAGTGAGCCGAGATCATCGTGCCATTGCACTCCAGCCTGGACAACAAGAGTGAAACTCCGTCTCAAAAAAAAAAAAAAAAAAAAAAAAAAAAAAAAAAAAAACCCTAAATTTCAAAGCATATCTTAATTCTTAAGACAATAAGATGTCACCATTTTGTATTAAAAGAAAGAAAAAAGATCACATTGAACCCATTCTAAATTTTTTTTCAATAAATTTTCCACTTGAACATGGAAACATTAAACCTTGAAATAGAATTGACAAGGCTGTCCTTTAAGCTAGCCAGTGTCAATTATGTTTCTTTGATTACATTCAAATAGAAATTCACTTCATTTGTCTTGGAAAAAAAAAAAAAGATGCATTGGATAACTATGGGATGGCTGTACACACACTCAAAGAAAAAGCTGAATAACTGGACCTTCTAAAGGGTGGGTCATAGTGTAGTTCCAAAAGTAGATCATAGTGTAGTTTTGAAATTTTGGGTGGCAAGAAGAAACAATTAGATTCTGTAGGGCATTACTGTTGAGAAAAATCAGACTTCACCCCTTTTAAAAAAGGTTTTTAAATTTGAAATAATTTTAGACCTACAGAAAATTTACAAAAATAGCACAGAGAATTGTCATACAGCCCTTATTTATAACCCTTAACTGTGTTGCAACTATCAAAATCTGGAAATTAACATTGGGGAAATACTATTAATAGATGCATGTGAGTTGTCTTTTATCCCTTTCTTACGTGAAGGTGGAATACTGTAGATACTTGTTTTTTTTTAATTTAGTAGTATATCCTTAAAATCCTTATCAGTTTATAGAGATTGTCTTCATTCTTTTACTATAGCTGCACAGTACTCCATTGAGTGGAAATGCTAGTTTATTCAACCACTTTCCTATTTGTAAATACTTAGCTGGTTTCAATATTTTGAAAATTTGCAAGTAATGTATCAATGAATGATGCATATTTGCATATGTATTTCTGCATCATTGGATGTGTCTTCAGGGTGAATTCCAAAAACTGATTGTTGGGTTGAAAGGTAATTGCTTACGTAGTTTGCTAGGTGTTGCTAAATATCCCTCTAGAAGGGCTGTACCACTTTGCATTTCTACCAGTAATGCATGAGAGTAATTTTTTCCCCCAGAGCCCCAATGACAGAATGTTCTGTTGTGTTTCTAATTTTTTTCCAGTCTGATCGGTGAAAAATGGTACCTTAGTATTGTCTTATTTGCAATTCTCTAATTACAAGTGACTGAACAATTTTTCCTGTTTGAAAACATTTTTTGTATCATTTTTATGAGAATGGTTAGTTCAAATATTTTTGACATTTTCCTTTGTTTTTTATTTTTCTCCCTCAATTTTAAGGGTTTTATATATGCTAGAGATTTTAGTCATTTGTGGTATATGTTTTGATAAATTCTTCCAGTTTGTTAAATTCCTTAAGACTTAGTGGGTTTTTATGTGTATGCAAACCAAAATAAAAATTATATATTGTCATATTCACTAATCTTGGGTTTTACTTCTAACTCTTCCATTTATTTATTGTTATCTTTGTTATTTGAACTCTCTAAAATTATTAGAACCAATTACCCAACATCCTCCAGTTTTTGTAACTCATAGTCTCACCGTTAGTCAGTGGGCAGAGTTTTATAAATCATGTGTAGAGTTAGATATCTATCGTAGGCTATGTTCCTTGAAAAAGTCAACCCTAAGATAAGAACTTGAATCTAAGTAGTTTATTTGGGGCAGGGGATGCTCTTAAGAAGCGATGATAGGGAAGTAGAGAAACGAAACAGGGAAGAGCAAGAAGTCGATACAAAATGCATTTAGGAGCAAGTTAACTCTGAACTAACATGCATATTTTGCACATGAGGACATTGAGATACCATGCATTGAATAGACTTGCTTAAAGGGAAGTTTAAGAATAGATTCTGTAATTGTTCAATCTAAGCAAAAAATGTTCTCTGCACACCAAGCTGCCGTCCTCCACGTTAGTGAGGAAGAGAAGGATCTGCAGAGAACATGGTCCATAAACACTAGAATGAGAGTTCTCAACTTAGAAAAGAGGCTAGCACCATAAGAGGTGCTGAAAAATGTTGAATTAGTATTGAGTGATTCATGTACACATGAAAACTACAAAACACTTGATCTTCAGGGCACCAAAAATAGGTGGAAATTGCAGGCCGGTAGCTCATATGCTGATTGATATCTGTACCACCTGGGCAAACCACTTCTAAAGCTTCCTGCTCTCCCTATACCTAGATTTTTTTCACTTCTGTTTAATGCCCTCCCTTTTGCCCCAAAAGACAAATCTCTTGCTGTCAAATGGTAACAAAAGCTTTGTTGGAGACATGGGGTTAAGCTAAGATTACTAATCAGATAAGTGGTTTAGGATTTGCTCAACTGGTTGTTTTGAATATTTATTAGACCAAGGAAACTCTCTTAAAAAGATCCTGAGGATTAGGCCCTGCAGCAAAATTCATCTACATTTCTTTGTTGATTCTTCTATACCTCCAAAGAGCATGTAATGGGGCAGGAAACATGGTTGTGGACAAGGGGGCAGAAGTAACCAAATAATTGTGAAATTTAAGCTACAGATTTTTTACTCCCTCCTGAGGTTTTAATGGCCACCTTAAGTACACAAACCTATGTAGCAACTCTCCAGTCATTAAAATTGCCTCTTCTCACTTGTTTGGGCACTTTACTTGTCCACTGCTTACTGGGGAATGAATGCAACTAGAAATGCAGACGCTCTGTGCAGCGAGATAATACATTGAAATACTGAACCCACACTTCCTCGTGTATGATCCTTTCCCCAGGTAGTCAGAAGCATGCACATTGCCTGGAGAATTAAACTGTTGTGGCAGGAATGCAGAGAGAAAGAGACAAGGTTTAGTTTTTGACTTCCAAATTGGCTCTCCAAGCCCACATCAGACACAATAGTTATCACCAGGAGACTGCTGAACACTATTAGTCTCCCGTGCTAGGGAACTGTGTGGGATACAAGCCAAGGCTTGCAGGCCATCAATGCCATTTGAGCAAGCTCATCGTGTTCCCAGTGCTAGAGAGCCTCATTAACAGTTCTTGTCAGTGGCAGGTGAGTTTTCCATCCTAACATCAAAAACTGCCTGCACTTACCCAGGTGGTGCCCACTGTGCTTGAAGACTTTGAGGGCACCTATTTGAATAGCCTAATGTAGACAGCCCCTCCTTTTCTCACTCCCCTTTTTAATTGCCTAGGATATTTGTACATCAAATGCTCAAGAAAGAATGCAGTGCACAATAAAATCCAAAGATTTAATAATGCTGTAATAAGAATGGTACATGACTTGCAGCAGTGGTGAAACTCTCAACGTCTATGTTAGAAGGCTTTTAAAAATACATTTGGGGCAAAAAAACACATTCTAGAAACCTTGGCTTTTCAAATTCTGATGATTTAGAATAGAGAAGTTTTTCACTGGGTATATGTGCTTTGGGCGGAGTAAAGAGAAAAGTCAAAAAGAATTATAACACTGGCATAAGGCTGTAGCAATGTCTGGAAAAGAAGTCAAGCATTTTAGCATTTCTAATACATTCACCTTAATGGATTCTTCACATTAGCTGTCTCTCACCTCCAAATAAAAGCCAAAATCTTTACAAAGGATTTCCAAGCTGTAGCTCACTGGCTGATGTACTCTGTCCCTGGACCCTCTTCCTTATCTCTCTGATCTCATCTACTTTCTGCTTACTTGCTTTACTCAGGCCACACTGGCTTTCCTTCTGATCAAGTGCCCATCTATTGGTGCTTCTGAAGTGTATCCTCAAAACTTCTGTAGTTGCCATTCTATGGGCATGGAACTATCTCCCTCACACACTGTTGCATGGCTTGTTCTTTTACTATCTGCAGTTGTCTCTATTTTGGTTTCCAAAGGTACCCAGGTTCTAATCCCCAGAACCTGTGAATAATACGTTATAAGGCAAAGGGGATTTTTCAGATGTGATTAAGTTAAGGATTTTAAGATGAAGAGAGTAGCCTAGATTACTCAGGTGTGCCCGGGGTTGCAATGATTAGCGTGCTTTTTCAAGGAAGGCAGAGGGAGATACGATGCAGAGGAAGGTAATGTGACTACTGAAGCACCATGCTACGTTGCTGGCCCTGGAGATGGAGGAGAGTCCTGAGCCAAGGAGTGCAGCTCTAGAAACTGGAACCGGTAAGAAAATGAATTCTCCCCCAGTGCCTCCAGAACCAAGTACAGTCCTGCCTATACCTTGATTTTCTCCTAGGGAAACTGGTTTCAGACTTCTAATATCCAGAACTAGAAGAGAATAATTGTGTGTTGCTTTAAGTCACTAAGCGTGTGAGAATTTGCTAAAACAGCAATTGTAAACTAATACACCAATATTTGCTCATATATCAGCTTGTCAGTGAGTCCTTCTCTCAAAACTTTCCTCAAAATTGCAATCCACTCTACTGTATTTCTCTGTGTTTTAAATTTTCTCAGTGGCTTTTTTTCATCATATTAAATAATTTATCGTTTTCTCTTGTTTCCCTTTTTCCGCCAGTGAAGTATGTTGCATGGGAGTTGACTTGTTTGGTTGGTAATTGTGGGAAATAATTTACTCAGCAAATTAGGTGGAACAAATGGACATCTCTTAGCAGAGGGGGTGTGAAAAAGGAAAGGAATACAGGACAGGAAGTCATGGAAAATATACTGGATTGTGAACTCAAGAATGTGCATGTTTTGAATATCCTGGAATAAGAGAGA